TGATGTGTGATGACATCTGAGTGTTCGCACCAAACAGTCATTGGCCTGTACTGAGCAGAAGGGAAGGAGGGGAGGTTACAGACACACCACACGCTCATTTCCCTCCCTTGTGCTTCTTTGTACGTGTAAATGAGAGAGAGAGAGAACATCTGATACAAAGAAAACATTCTGGAAACTTGAGAAGATGACTGACGACAGTAAAATTTGAACCCCTGAGAGAGAATCCTCTCCAAAACAGGGCAGTCAAAGACAGAGAGAATAAACAGGATCAACCGCTTAAAGCTGAGGGACTTGGCTTTTCTTATGTTAGATTTTATTTTGTGAAAAGCTGTCCTGTTTCACTCTAGTAAAACAATTAAAGGTTAATAAATATTAAGTATACATGGATCTTTTTGTCAAATTCAGATGTGTGCTTGTTTTTGTACTTCAAAATTTATTTTTTATGATCATATAAATAGTAAACATCTGATATAATGTATGTTTTGTATACTAGTCACTCATTTTACACATAGTTTTACTTTTAAGTTTTAATTTAATTTTTGGTAATGAATTAATTTAAGAAACAAAAAATGTGAAGAGCCACCTGGGAGCCAAAAGAGCTGAGCTATTAGAACAAGCTGGTAAGTCACTAGTGAAACCCGTCACAAAAAGGTATAGAGTGCTGCAAGAAAAATCGGCCTTGCAATTTTGCTGGTTGCTACCAGATTCCTGCAGTCATGTGATAGTTTGATTTTATCATGAAGCTGATCATCAAGAGCAGAATAGGTATTAAAAAAGTCCCTCTGAAAGTTTTGATTTAAATAGCTTAATGATGGGGACATTTTAGACTAGAGCTTGTTTTTTGGATCTATGCCACACAAAGTTTGATGGCAAAGGGAAAGTGGACCTTATCAGCTGCAGCATTTCAGCCACCATAGTGCCAGAGGTGTCATACAGATTATAGTTTGTATTTTCTAGTTTTTACTTTTGTTTTTATTTAGTAAGTTTCAGAAAAAAAAATACAGAAACTAATAATCGTATCTGTTTACCAGTTTTACAAAATCGTTTCAGTTAGTTTACATATTTTAAAGTCTATTTAGATTTTTTAATTTCAATCAACTAAAATGTAATTTCACTTATTTGCATTTAGTTTGAGTTATTAATTTAGTAAACTATACCATTATATATAGCGTTATAGTTTACTATAACTCTGCACAGCATTGATTTGAAGTTTAAAGACATTTCACAACATCAACTGTTAAAGTCCACGATAGCATATGACCTTAAGGACATTTCATGTAAGATTTAAACTTCCAGTTTATCAAATATCAATTTGCCAAGCACAAGCAGATGGATGTTTGTGTACTTTTTGACATTATTTAGCTGTTTGAAATTTTCATTTACAATTAGCAGCCCCTTCATAAAAAGTACATGTATGTTTGTCCTTGCTTCTCTTCAGTAGCTCTAGCTAACTGAGCATGTTTTACTGTTTTTTGGTCTCACTGCTTTAAAAGTACAAATTACTCTCTATATCCTTGTTCCAAGAATTTTGAATTTATTTAACTGCAGTAAAATAAAGTCTTATGTGCTATAAATTATTTTCACTGTATTTGGATTTTATATTGGCATTATTTTTGTTGTTGTTGTTGTTGTTGTTTACAGTCCATGCACTCCTGTTTGCAGATGATCTCACTGTAAGACTATATAAATAATTTTACATTTTGTGCGGAGTGTAGGTAAGTTAGCCCCTCTTGTCGTCACACAATGACTAGGCTATTCTTTAAGTGAACACTGAGTAATTTAAACTGGTTCTTCTGAAAATAAAGACCATTGTTATCATCTGCCTTGTGTTCCAGACTACCTGGAAACATGTAATTTACGAGCCAAAGAATTTCATTACAGGTAAATGTGGCTACACTGTTTATCTGTACATGACAACAAAGCTTGAAACTTGATACTTCAATACACATAACTTTCTCTAATGAAACAGGCAGATCGTGAGGAGTGCCTCAGACTCAAGTCGCCGCAGGAATGGAACTAAACGGCTGAGAGATTAGTCGCAAGTTCACAATTTTTTCATTAAGTCCATCTCCGCTGAACTGTAATCTAAGAACCACACGGTCCATTACCTGCTAAACATCATGAAAAACCCCCCAACGTTTTCTATATTTGAGTGGCATGCCGAAACTCAATCTACCTATTACTTCTTTGTTCAAAAACATCACATGAGAAGAGCACCAGTATGGGAATCAGGACCCCACAAATCATTATTCAGAAAAGGAGACTAATAATGTATTTTATTGGCGAGAAATAAACGAAGCAAATGTTCACCATTCAATCCATTAAAATGATTATCATATGAAATAAAAATTGGAATAATGTGAACTGAGCTTTTCAGCTGAGCTTAGGATCCAATGCTAAGACTTACTCTTAACGCATACATGTTGACCTACTAAATGGTAAAGTAAAATAATAGGGACCCCTTTTCCCCCACAATGAATGAAATCATTGTTTAAAAACTGAATTTTGTATTTACTTGCAAGTGCCATGTGTATGCCAATATATAAGACTGCAACATATGATATTTGGCAATGACTATACTGAGGGGAAAAAAACTGTAGAATTTATGTACTTTAACTGATAAATTTAACAAAAACTTTCCTGTTAATAAAGTTGAATAGAGTAAAAATGGAAGTTTCAAAGGAAAGATGAAATATTTATACTTTAAACAATTTTCAGTAGTATGAGTATTTTTAAATAGGAGGCAAAAGGCTGTCAACCACCTACAATTCCATCTTAAGATATTTCCTCAACCACCCTCAGGACCATCTCCAAAGGGGACGATCCCTTTTAGAGATTTTTACCCTGAATTCTCTGCCAGGTTTTATAACTGCTGAAGCGTTTTCTGATTTGTGTGTGTATAGTTGTTAGCTTAGTTTGTTGATCTTAGTAGTTGTATAGTTTGTTTGCTTCACGTTGTGATTTTTTCTTTTTCCCCCTTTTTTCTTCTTTATGTTTCTTTATTGAATCTTTGTTGCAATGAAGACGAAAGGGAGGACGTAAAATAATAGAGTTGATATTTTGATTTCTCTACATACATGACAGCTGTGACTGGGAATTTCTTTAAATTTGGCTGCAACAGTCATGCAGACTAGAAGGTATTTTTTTGGCTTTGAGTAATCAGAGTCACTCAAATCTGTTCCACTCTTATGAATATTTCAAGAAGAAGATACATTCTGCAATTCTCAAATACTCAAATACAATGACATTAATCAGGTTAACATCTCATTTATAGTTAAATACTGTAAGCCTATTTAAATAATAAAATAACTTTACATTTTGTGTGGAGTGCAGGTAAGTCAGCGAGTAAACATTTCTAAAGACATTTAAGCCCCTCTTGTCATGATACAGTGACTAGGCTATTCTTTAAGTGGACATTGAGTAATTTAAACTGGTTCTTCTGAAACTAAAGATCATTGTTTTGTCTAACTTGTGTTCCAGGGTATCTGGAAATGTGTAATGCCATTCAATGTGCTTAAACAGTGACACAGCAAAAATAATCATGACAAACTATTGAGTTTTACCCTTCTGCCAACTGAGTCAGTGCTGGACAAATATGAGCAAACTTTGCCCCAGACACAGAATAAAATAACTCACATATTTGCTCCTCTCCATATCCAACAGCTGTGATTGGAAATTTCTTACAACATGTCATTTATAGTTACTGATTGGATTTATTTGATTTTTGTGTGCCAGTGTCATTGTGACATCACATTCGTTCCAAGGAAGGTACACATATAAAGTGCTGGCACTGAATCCAATACAATGAATTTTGCATAACAGGAACTAAAATAGTGAAATATAACTTTCTCTAATCAAACAGGCAGATTGTGCGGTACCTCAGAGTCAGGTTGCCACAAGAATGCAACTAAATGACTGCAAGATCAGTTTCTACTTGCAAGATCACAATAATTTCTTCATTTAGTCCATCTCTGCTAAACTGTGATCAAAGAACCACAGGGTCCATTACCTGCTAAACATCATGAAACAGTGTTTTCTATATTTAAGTGGCATGCTTGCATATGTTTTCATTGCCATGCCAAAACTCAATTTATCTATTACTTATTTGTTCAAAAGACCACACGAGACGAGAGTGCCAGTATGAGAAGCAGAACCTACAAAGCATTACTCAGAAAAGGAGAGTAATAAAATCTTTTATTGGCTATTCAAACCATTAAAATGATTCTCATATGAAAAAAAAAATTGAATAATGTGAGCTGATCGTTTTAGCTTAACTTCTTACCAAATGCTAAGACTTACCCTTAACACATATACTTTTTTCCTGCTTGGCCTTGAAGCTGGCAGATTACACATGATCCTGGAGAAAAAAATGTGTTTTAAATGATGCAGGTGTGAAGAAATTTGGAATCAATTACATTTTCTTATAACATCTTAGGACAAGTTAAGAATACATTTTATGTAAATGAAAACAAACTTAACAGTAAACTGTTCAAATTAGAACAGTTATGAATACCTTTATTTAATTTTTTTGTTTATCTTTTGCTTCGCTTTGCAATTTTATCTCTTTTATTTTTTATCTCATACACGACAGCTGTGACTGTGAAGTCAAATTTCAAGCTTCAAATTTGGCTGCAACAGTCACGCAGACAGAGAGATGAATTGGTTTGACTTTGGTGTCCAGTGATCACGATCACTGTGACCTCAGACCTCTTCCACTCTTGTGAATATTCAGCATTTAGAGAAGTCTATTCCTAGTATGGTTACTCCTCGTAGATGCAGTCACATGTTGTTAAAGCCAATGAAAGGTCTGAATGTCATGTTCAGGTGATAAGTATTTAATGTCATGAGGGCTTTTGTGTATTGTTTGGACAGCGTTAAAAATTTTCCTTTCCCAAGCGAAACTCCCCAAACAACAAACGCAGCAGTAAAACAGGCTGGCCCACTGGTCCTAGCATCATATATAAACCCACAGGCTCTGTCTGTAAACATACACAGGTGGGGGAAAATTCTCGCAGTGAAAAGGCAAGCTGGTCAACCAAAGTGGTAAGAAAATTTTTATTTCATTTTAAAACGTTTTTTAGTTATTATAATTTGTTTTCGTATTATGTAAAAAAAAAAAAACAACAACTTCAGTTTGTTCCCTCACTTGCTATAGTGTTGTTATTTTTTTAACCATTTTTTGTTGTTGTAGACCTACAAATACAAAGCGGAGGTAATTTTCACTTTTTTCCCTCAGAAACTGCTGACATGAAACTCGAGTTGCTTGTTGTGGTGGCTGTGGCAGTTCTGCTGCCCAGTTTTTCTGAGAGCCGGATCGTTTCCAAATGCAAGCTCAGAGAAAAGCTCGGTGAAATGCTTGATCTGCCCAGGAGACTGAAGGAAAGAACGTTGGCAACAGGTGAGCTCAAATGTGCTTTGGGTACTTAGCAAAGAATCTTCATAACCTTCAGAGTCAAAGTACAAATCACTTTGGTGCTCATGAAAATCAGGATCAAAGCTGTACCTTAGCGGTACAAAATTATTTAAGTTGACTGCTGCTTGATTCTTCTTCTATATTTGAGGAAAACATTAATTGCATTTGATATATCTGATGACATTATTTACTGTTTACTTTAAACATGCAAATACAGAATCAGTAATAAAGCTTTATCTTAGCTGCAAATACTTTGTGAAGTAATATTAGCAACATGCAATTTTTCTATTTAAATGTCTTTATCAACTGCATCAATAATGTAATTGTAAAGTGAAATTTTTCTACAACACAGAGGATAATAACTGAAAAAGTAGCCACCAAAGTAAAACTTTCTTGTCCTTGTTTGTGGACATGAATGGTTTGTTGCAGTTATCTGTGAAGTACAAAGGAGGTCTAATCTGAACACCAAGTTAGTCAAGTCATTTGGCAAGTGCATCCCTACCGCACCAAACCCAGCGGTGGTCACAACCCCCTCCACAAGCGGAGGCAACAATACGATCACTGGAGCAGCCACAGTGACAAACACCAATTCAACAACCATAGACCTGACCAGCACCACTACTGCTACTACTAACACTATAACTACTGTCAACTCCACCATCAGCTCAGGGAACACAACCTTTGTGTCAAACAGCACAAGTGGCGTGAAAAGACAAAGGCGTGATGCTGATTCACACAGTGAGAAGGGGAAAAAGTTTAGTGAAGAGGAGCACAAGGATGACAGTGAAATGGAAGACGAGGATGAAACGAGCAGTGAGGACGATGACGAATCCAAAAACCTTTACGGGCTCTTTCAGCTCTCTGACAGAGAGTTCTGTGATTCGGGATTATGTCCATCCAAAAGTATGTGCCATACCTCCTGCACAGGTGAGTCCTTGCAAACAAGCAAACACAGATTTACTGTTTAAATGTTGCTTTTTTATTGTGTATATTAAAAATAGTTTCTTTTTTCCTTGCAGCTTTTACTGATGATGACATAACTGATGATATTGCTTGTGTTGTCAAGACTGGTTACTGGAAGTAAGTTTCTGGAAAGCACAACACAAATAGATCAGATAAATAACCAAAGCTTTGAAAAAATGTCATATCATTGTGTGATACATTAATTTGCTGATTTATTCATAATATCCATATACTGAAAAACAGCAAAAAAATTCAGTAAGGTGTTGGGCCATAATCACGTCTCCAAAGCATTTAGTCTTTAACACTGCTGCAAGGATTGAACACCATTATTGTGTTGCCTAATAACTGCCTTTTGTTTTAATCAAACAGGGAGATCATGAAAAGTGCCTCGAAGTCATGTTGTCGCACCACGGATTTCTTTGAGGAATGTGACTAAATGGCTGTGAGATCTTGGTTGCTACAATTTCCTAATGAGATCCACCTTCCGTGAGCTGTGATTGAGGAACCGCATGTTCCATTACCAACCAAACAGCGTTTGTTTTTTTTGTTTGTTTGTTTGTTTGGTGGATCATTCAGTAACCGTTGCTTTGTACCTGTATGTTTTAATAGTAATGCCAATAGACCTAATCAGCCCTCAAATTCCTACAAAGTAATGATTACTTTTTCAAAAGTCTAAAACTCAACGCTTTACATCTATTTCTTTTCTTTCAATAAATATTGACTTGCAGCATCTTTGTGTTTGTGTTATTATATATTTAAAGTACTTTTAATAGTAATGACAAAACTGCTTCAATCTCATGAAGACTACCTGTTGCTTCACGTTTATTTAACACCACGACATGTGCACCACCATACGAAAAATAACCCTGAAAGCATGAGAGATAAAATTTTGCTCCAACCAGGAGACTTAAAGGTATTTCATTAATCAGAAATAAACCAAGCAATTGGCTACTGTGCAAACCATTAAAATTATTCTCATATGAAATAAAAATGGATTAAACTGAGATATTTATACAGTAAAACCTCAGGACCAAATGTTAAGACTTACTGTTAACACATATATTCCTTTTTTCCTGTTTGTCCTTGAAGTTGGCAGATTATAAAGGACCTCTTTCCATGTGTTTCAGCTCCTATTTACACTTTGCCTCAGGTGACCTTTCTGAATGAGATATTCCACCTTGGACCCTATAGTAGTAATTATAATAGTCTAGTTCTTTTAAAATCCTTTTCTACTTTGACTGAGCACTCAAGTATAATTCACTCATTCCCACACACTGTCATATACTGACTTTTTCCCTAAGTACTTTCTATCTGGCATTCACGTACTTATCAGCATTCAATATAGGGCTTTGGAGCGTGATGTCACGGGAGGTGGGCCACGCCCCCTTCCGCCATGACAGTAGGCCAGACACAGGATACAGCTTCAGCTATGGTTCGTACGTGTTGTGTTGTCAGTTGCAACGTTAGATCACACGATTGTGAAGGCAAGAAGCTGGATAATGGGCTCTCTTTTCATCGTTTTCCATCCTGGAGGCAACGT